TCATAATTTTAAGACCTGAAACACACATTACAAAGCATTACCTGGTTGAGCAGCAGAGGCAGTGGTGACTGTGACGATATTCTTTTTCTGGCTCGAACGAACAACTTCTTGGACTGCAGTTTTAGATGCCCTTAAATTCTTTCTTTCAAGAAGACTAACATGTGTTAATTTTGCATCAATTTGTTTAATGTTCAATGGATTACCATCTTAAAAGGAAAAAAGGAAAAACAATTACTTGAAATACAGACTTCACAAAACACCTCCACTCTAGAAGACTACAGAAGACAAAATGAATAAATAGATAAATAAATAAACAATACCTGAGTTAGCGGCAGTGCCTGATATACTAGGTTTCGGCTGCAGTACTATTTTTGGTAGTAGCTGCATTAAAGTTGAGTTTGCGTTTGAGTCTATTCAATCTCACAGTTGAAACTAAGCAAAACACACAGATAGAGACAACATTAATTAATACTTTTACTAAATAAAATTTGAATATAACTCCACTTTGTTCAGAACAGAAGCAAACACCATGTTGTTTATATTTTCTTACCTGTTTGAGAGGCGGATGAGCATACAGAACTACTTGCAGGGGTAATGGACACTAATTTTCGTTGATGGATTGGAGCTGAGTTTGGAGAGCCAATCTCCTCCGTATGACCAACCCATGGAATTCCTAAGAATGAAAACAAAACGGCAAGAGATAAAGTTGCTATTACAACTGCCTCATCAACTCATCAAATAATAATAATCAAATTAACAATTTTATTTTGGCTATAATATATATTATATAGTTATGGAAAGACTGAAATTAGTCTCAAGGTGCTACTACAATGAGCTCATTGCACCAATGATACTCTTGCTCAATTGATTGATATTGTTGATTTGGGTAATGACAATAGTGATAGGTAAGAATACTAAAGAAGTCGAGGAGTAGGAACTTTCACCTAATATACGGTATTTAAGATTGAGCATTATTAAGGAATGAAAAGAAATTTTTTAACTCTGTCGAACATAAGGAGCAGATCAAGAGCTAGAGAAGCAAGGAATGAAAGGTGACAGTGCTTAGGTTTAACAGTGTTGAGTACAGTTGTCCCCACAGAAAGCCAAATTATTTGGCTTTCTGTGGGGACAACTGTACTTAACAATGTTCAACTTAAGCACTCTCACCTTTCATTCCTTGCTTCTCTAGCTCTTGATCTGCTCCTTATGTTTCACAGAGTTAAAAAAAACTCTTTTCATTCCTTGATAACGCTCAATTTTAAATACCGTACATCAGGTTAAAGTTTCCACTCGTAGACTTCTTTAGTATTCTTATCTGTCACTCTCTCAATGTCATGACACAAATCAACAGTCTCAATCAATTGAGCAAGAATATCACTAGTGCAATGAGCACTGTGAGCACTGAGTCACAGAACACAAGATGAGTATGAAATAAAAAGTTGATGAGCGTTAAGTTGTTGACTTCATTGTGGTAGCACAGCACCTGTAGCACTATAGCATCCTACCCCTTTATACTTCACATTTTTCTTTCATTATGAATGAACAGGTGTATTATAATTACCTTTTTTCTGGAGGAAAGATACATCTGAGGACACCAGAGATCGGGCAGGTGACGAATAGTTTGAAGCAGAGTCATCATAATTACATAGTCTCTTTGCAGCTACACCTTCAGACAACGCTGTCAGGAAAAACAACAAAATAAGTTTACAATGATTCTTTACACAAACCAAATCATGATAGCAAAAGTCGGGGCTAACAGTCTGATAGGTTAAGAGTTCCACACAAAGTCAAGCACAGGTTAAAACAAGAGTACTTTGAGCATTTCTGAAAGCAGAAAAGGTAGAGATTTTGTTTTTAACATCCTGACATGAATCATAACCTGGCACTCAAACGGGCCAGGACTCCACAAAAGGCTTTTGGATTCTGTGCTAAGTTCTGGATGGTAGGGTTCAGTGAATCTCAACTCAGCGGTAGCGTTCAATAGATGTTTACTTGGGCAGGCTTGACGGCGGATTGACAACAAGAGCATCAGCTGCTCGGAGGCTGTACAGAGGGCGCGCTCTAGGCGGCTGTTTACAGAACTACAACAAGTGTTGCCAACATATAACATATTACATCCCCCCTTATTTTAAAAGAGATGAACTGTGACCAATACAAATAGCCGACTGAAAGGATATACTGATTGACAGTAACATACAAAAACATTTGACGCTAAACACTATAGAAATAGACACTAAACACTATAGAAATAGATACAGGGAAATACTGAGACGATTTACAAAACATTACGAATGTAATACAATAACTAATAACGTACAAGCAAATTAACTAACGTTAGCGACTATTAAAAATTACATCACAGGTACAAAAACGCTAACAATACAAAGAAGTACATGTATAACAAATGACGTTATAGCACAATATCACAGGTAACAAGATCTCAGTTGGGAGGGAACCATGGGTACATTTTGGGCAACAAGTCAGGCACTAATATTTATTAGCAGAGTGAAAATAGGCAAAACGTACACAAAATGTCATGGCGAACGTGCACCTTCTCGTGGTCGTCTAGAGGCGGTAACGAGCTGGTGGACGGATCTCAGGGCGAGAGCGGGTCCCTCCCGAACTTCCCGCGCCGCCCGGGTTGGGTGGTGAAAGTGATCTCCTCCCTCGGCCTAGACTCTTCCTAGTCTGTCTCTTCCGGTTCTGGGGTTGCGGGGGCGTCTGTGGTGGCTCCCGTGGTGGTGTCTCCGGGGTCGCGGGTGGAGGTGGAGGTGGAGTCCTCTGGATTCGTGGGGGCGTTTGGAGAGGCGGTGGGGCAGAGCAGCAATTCTGGAGGATACCCAAGTACTGGAACATGCTGGGCTCCGCTGTCTTCTCCGCTGACTCTGGTACAGCAATCAGGTCTCTTCGGTTTCTTCTGATCTTGGAGCCTAGGTCTGTGACGAGGTCGTAACTCCTGGGCGTCTCTGCTTCTCCTAGAACATTAGCATAGTACTGTTTGTCCACCACCCAGACTCTGTCACCTTGGTTGAGGGGTGGCAGGTCCTTGGCTCGATGGCGTTTGTTGAAGGTGGCTTCCAGTCTACGCGTTCTTTCCCTCCTCTTCTCCTTGAAAGCCTCCAGGTCCGGCCATTCGGGTTCCAAGTGTTCCTCGAGCTGCGGCAATGGAGTTCGAAGGCGTCTGCCCATTAGGAGTTGGGCTGGTGAAGGTCCTTCTTCCAGGGGCGCGTTTCTCAGCGCCAGCAGTCCGAGGTGGACGAGGGGTTCCTTGGCCAGGATTTGCTTCGCCTTCTTCACCGCCGCTTCTGCTTTCCCGTTGCTCCATGGGGCGTGTGGGCTGCTGGTGATGTGCTGAAATTGGCACAGGGAGGCAAAATTAGCAAAATCCAGGCTGTTGAATGGTGGTCCGTTGTCCGACCGAACAGTGTTGGGGACTCCATGTCTTCCAAAAATTTCAAATAACTTAGGGATCACCGCAGTGGCTGATGTGGAGGAAACTTCGACGACTTCGATGTACGTGGAGAAATAGTCTACTACCACAATGTACTTTCGTTTACCTCGCTCGGCGAAATCCATGCCTACGGTTTCCCATGGTCTGTTGGGTGTGGGTGTGGGCATCAACGGCTCTGGTGGGTTCTTCCTGTGGCGTTTGCAGATTTCACAATTTTCCACAAACTCTCCTACATTCTTAGAAACTGAGGGCCACCAGACCGTGTCTTGGGCTCTTCCTCTGCACTTAGTCACACCCAGGTGTCCTTGATGAAGCTTTCCCAGAATTTCCTTCCTCATGGCTTCAGGAATGAATACTCTCTTCCCATGCATGACTACTTCCCCCAGGATGTTCAGCATACCTCTGTGTTCGAAGAATTTCCTGATCTCACAAGGCAGCTCCTGGGGTTTCCTTGGCCATCCCTCGGAAATGGTGGTAAACAGCAGCTTGCAGGTCCTGTCAGCTTGCTGGGCGACCTTCACAGAGTTCCACAGGGTTGGCGCCATGGGGATGTCCATGCAGGTCTCAGCGCTCTGCACTTCCACGATGGCGTCTTGGTGGCCTGGGTTCCTGCTGGATGGCAACCGGGACAGGGTATCTGCTGCATACATGCATTTTCCAGGTACATAAGTGACAATGTAGCGATATGGGGCGAGCCTCATCCTGAAACGCTGAAGTCTTGCAGAAAGTTCATTGATTGGTTTGCTTCCCAAGATGGTGGTTAGTGGCTTGTGGTCTGTACGTAGTTCAAATTTGGGCAACCCGATCAGATACCATGACAGCTTTTCGCAGGCCCAGGTTGACCCAAGTGCCTCCTTCTCAATTTGAGCGTATCTCGTTTCTGCGTCAGACAAGACTCTTGAGGCGAAATGTACTGGCTTCCACTCACCACTCTTCTGCTGCTGTTCCAAGACCGCCCCCAAACCGTACTTGGAGGCATCAGCGGTCACACGTGTAGGCAGGCGCGGATCAAAGAGGGCCAAGACTGGTGCAGAGGCCAATGCCTTCTTGGTCTTCTCGAAGCTCTCCTGTTGCGCTGCCGTCCACTCTGCGCAGCTGTCTGCTGATAGCATGTCGTTGAGGGGCTTCAGGATCTGTGACAGGTTTGGAACAAACTTGAGATAATACCTAACACTGCTGAGGAAACTTCTGAGTGCTGTCTCGTCTTTGGGGACTGGCATGTCCAGGAGGTCTTGAATCTTGGCTCCTGGTTTCACCTTAGTGGCGGAGACTCTCTGGCCCAGGAAGTCACACTCTGAAACACGAAATTGGCATTTTGACTTGTTTAGAGTAATGCCCGCTTCCTTGTACCTCTGCAGGACTTTCCGGAGGCGCTCATCGTGCTCTTCAATGGTTCTTCCCCACACCAGGTCATCATCCACGTGATTAATCACTCCTTCAAGCCCTTCAAGAACTTTGACCTTCCTACTTTTGTAGACTTCTCCTGATGACTTGAGACCCGTTGGCATACGTTTCCACCTGTATCTGCCAAAGGGTGTGATGAAAGTGGTAAAACTTCTGCATTCTGCAGCCAGCTTTACCTGCCAGTACCCCCACTTAGCATCCAATTTGCTGAAAACCTTTGCATCAGTCCCAATGGTTGCTGGGATTCATCAACAGTTGGCATTTCAAAACACTCTCTCAATACATACTCATTCAAGGCAGTGTAGTCGATGGTCAGTCTCACTGTTCCGTCTGGTTTTGGAACGGGGACCAATGGGGCACACCACAGCGAAGGCTCTGTCACTGGCTCGATGGCGTCCAGCTGCAGTAGTTCCTCGATGGCATTCTTGGTTGGCTGGAACAACGGCACTGATACTCTGCGGCTCTGTGTGACAGCATGGGGCTGTGCATCTTCTGCCAGCTTGATCAGATACTCTTCCTTCATGCATCCCAATCCGTCGAAAACTTCAGGGAACTGGTTCTCAGGGGTTGCAGTCTGTGAAACGGAAAGTACCTCTGGTGCTAGCTTGATGAGACCCATTTCCAGTGCAAGGCATCTTGAGAGAAGCGGCTCCTTCTGGTCTGGAATGACATAAGCCCAAATGTCGTAGACTCTCTGTTTCCACTCCAACCGAATTTGGCACTTCCCAGTGACGTTTGCCTGCACTTGCCCTGCCAACATAACCTTCACGCCGGGGTCCAAAACATCTTCGGGCTTCAACACGTCCACAGTCTTGTCCCCAATGATCGGAATGTCAGCGCCTGAATCAATCTTCCAACGAACAGGTGTGCCATTTGAGGTTATGTCTACTCTAAGTGATTTACCTCGCAAGTCAGCTGATACGCAATCCAGGTAGTACGTAACCTCCTCGGCGTGGGGCTGGTCCTCCGCCGTTGCCTCGTTGATGACGGTGAAGCATGCCACTGCCCAATGGCCCTTGTTCTTGCATCTGCCGCAAATTGAATCCTTGGCTGGGCACTGGGAGTACGGATGGCTTGGAGTCCTGGCGCATTTCTTGCACGGTTTCGGTTGCTTGGATTGCCGCGACTGGTTTGCGGCGGGCTTCCTGGACTTGTCCTGGTTGGGCAAAGGCGCATTAGTGTGAGATTTGGGTTTAGTGAAGGGTTTCTTACTCTTTCTCACGAAGTTGATCTGCGCTTGAGCCGCGTCGCCATGTCCGTTGCGCAGCACTGGCAGCTGTTTTCCGACGTCTTCTGCTTGCAGCACACGTTCCCTGACCTTGGCCAAGTCGATTGTGGCGTCCATTTGCATCGCAGCAGACAGCTGTACGTTTGAGATGCCGACGATAATCCTGTCTCTGATGAGCTCTTCTCGCAACTCCCCATAATTGCACTTCTCTGCCATGGAGTATAAGTCCGTGATGAAATCAGACGCGGATTCCCCTGCTCGCTGACTTCTTTGATTGAACTTAGCTCGCTCGTAGATGACATTGATTTTGCCTCCGAAGTACTCGGTGAACTTGTCCATGACATGTAGGACATTTTCATTTGACTCCGTCGGCGCATACCTGAAGGTTTTCATAGCGATGTCCGCCTTTTCGCCCATCAGGTATAGAAGTACGTCCAGTTGCGTCGCCGGTGCATCCTTGTCCAGCTTGGATAGGCGCCGGTAACGCAGAAAACGTGTACTCCACGCCGGCCACTCTTCTGCATTCCAGTTGAATGGGTCCGGTTGCTGGATTCTAATCACCGGTCTTGGGGGTTCAGGGCCTTCTCCGCCGTCAGCCATTTTCTTGATGCGGGAGTTCTCTCTTCTTCACAGCTGATCACCATGTGCTAAGTTCTGGATGGTAGGGTTCAGTGAATCTCAACTCAGCGGTAGCGTTCAATAGATGTTTACTTGGGCAGGCTTGACGGCGGATTGACAACAAGAGCATCAGCTGCTCGGAGGCTGTACAGAGGGCGCGCTCTAGGCGGCTGTTTACAGAACTACAACAAGTGTTGCCAACATATAACATATTACAGATTCAGTTGAGAATAAACAATGACAATAAGTCCAAACTCGATAACACAGATAAAAAAAAATTGACGCTCACCCCTTTTTTCTAACGCCAGATTTATAAGCGTTCGGCTTCTTTTCGACATCTTGGATTGTATACCGCGTCCATGCCGCACAACAACGACGAACGACGCCTCTCTGCAGCGCTCTGATCCTCTCTGCTTGCTCGATGCAACGAGACGACGGACGAGGGCTGCGACTTGCTTGGCTTTGGAACGGGCAGCTCGGTGACGAAGAGGTTATGGGTCAAACTTTGAATTGCTATTACAATAAAACTAAAGGCTTGGTTACTAAACTATTGATGGGAGAAAATTCTTCGTTAAAAGACGAATGCTAATTCGGCTTTACCTGAAAATGTCTATAAATGTCAGTTGCTTGGCTTCGTACGATGTTTTGCAATAGGGTGATTCCGTGCGTAGGGGCCGTTTTAGCCACCTTAGAAAGTCAAGCTATCAATCTTGCTTGTTCGGCCGGAATTTGGCCTAGATGGCATCAATTGAACCCCAGGAAGACACTCTGAGCGTGGGCGAGCTAAAAGTTGACTTTCGTTTTCTCCCCCTATAAAATATGACGAAATTTACTGAAAATATGACGGAAATTACGCTTGACGGAAATTACAAACAGGTGTTTCTGGTTCACTGCAACTGCATATTGCCAGAGAAATATGCCATAAGTTTGGCACACTAGTTCGACGTCAAGACACATCTTTTCACGTGTAGGATGTCTTTCAAAATCCAATAGACGAGGAGCGAGAGGGGCATACGGAAATTACACCAATTGTTACAACCCACCGATTTCACACACAACTTCCACTCGCACACTCACCCCCTCACTTTTTAACCACCGAAACTCGTTCACATGGTAAACAGACCGTGCTGATTCTAAATACGGCGGTGGTTTTGAGCAGGGAGCACTCCTAGTAGTTTTTTTGGAGCTTACTCTGAAACCGCTAAGGTAAAAGTCGGAGTACGGTGGACATTTAGTACGCGTTCTGAAAGTACAGTTCCAATCAATATACGTTCTTCAAATTCAAGCAAGATAGTCACTATTAGTTAGAGATTGGATGGGTGTGTGTGGAATTTGAAGATTTGAACGGAACGAAGGGTTATAGAGCCGCAAAGTTGGTGTAAGGTGCGAATGGACATGACGGAACTTACAAAATCGACCCTTTTGGCCCCTCTCCCTCGTCACATGTTAGCTTTGAAAGTCCGTATACAAAGGGAACAAGCTATTCCAGTGCCAAACAAGATTCTTAAGTGTATAAATGGACTGCACTCCAATAAGTTCGCTCTGGGGAGGGTGTGGACACGAAAACGCCCTCTACGCGCGGAATCACCCAATAGCGATGGTTCGAAACGCCCTCCCGCAATAGCGAGGGTTCGAAACGGGGAAGTGCAATAACTTGGCTTCGAGACGAGAGTGTGAATAACCATGGTCTGGATAGGAGCCGTCGAGCAGCTGGCACTTACCGACTGGCGAGCTCCGCTCGGCCAGGCGGGCTCGCGGCGCGCGGTTGCTCGGCGCATTCTTGCTTACATGACAATTTGGACCTGGGGTTCGGGCTGTGCTCCGTTGCGACAGAACGCAACATCCCCCCCAAAAGAAGTGTGCGGCCCCGACGCACAAGGGATCCCACGCAAGGGGTGACCATCCCAAACTTTAGAAAACCAAAATTTATTCAAAAGAGCAACCGCGATTGAAGCTAAACTGATTGTTACTAAAAAGGTCGTGGGCAAGGTAAATTAAAATTTTGAAAGATTAAACCCGAAGTGCAAGCTGAGTGACAACCACCCCAATGTTCAGGAGCACGCGCTAATTTGGTCTGGCTGAGGCTAAATATAATTTTGAACTCCTGGACAATTGGATCTCTAACGGCTACACTGGTATATTACTAAATGGTTCTACTGAAAATGAAAATGCTGCCAACGTGACATGAAATAAATTTATCTCTACTATTGAATTACTTGAAAAATCCGCATGCTCCTGAACTTCGAAGGCGGTGGAACACAGCCTAAGGGAGGAATAGGACACACAAAAGCAACAATACTTTATTTAGACGGTGGCAAAGATAAAGACGAAGGAAAGACGGAGGGGTGAAAGGTAAAGACGATGAGAAGATGGTGGATGGCCGCTCTCCGCCGATCCCAACGGCGGCGTGCGGCGTCGCTCGGCGGCCCTCGCTCGACGACCCAGGGAGAGGCGTGTCGTTCCAGAGAGACGCCCGGCGATGTCGGTGCTAGGAGACGCCGCCCGGTGGTGCTTGGCGACGGGGCGCTCCTGTTAGCACTCAGATGGAAGGCGCTCGGCGTCGCCGCGGCGGATCTCGAGGCAAACCGTCGCCCTGTCAGCCTCCTGTCGCACCCAGATGGAAGGCGCTCGGCGTCGCTGCTGTGGGTCTCGAGGCAAACCGTCGCACTGGCAGCCTCCCGTCGCACCCAGATGGAACGTAGTGCGACGGCGTCGGTAAGCCCAGCAGTGCCGAGGGAGGCGGGGACGCTGCAACAGGATGACCCAGGCGGCAGGAGAGGGGACTGGGAGGGTTTTGGTGGGGGAGGTGAGTGTCCCCACGACCAAAACCGGACCAGGCAAAGGCGCGGCCTGTAATTTAGGGGTTTAGTAAACCAAACCTAAAATCAAAATACCAAAAATGTCAGTTTTTGAGAGAGGGAGAAAGAGAGATGAAGAACGTAGAAGAAAAAGGTGAACTAGTGCAAAATGGCTAGATAAGCGAAGCTGGGGTAGAATTTGGAAAGATGACAAATTTTGTAAAGTTCGCGCAGGACACCGCCTACTCAGTCCGACGGGCCTTTACAAAAAGCGGCTAGAAAAGACGGAAAGAAAAACGCTACTTAGATCCGGACTCTACTGGGCGTTGGCAGAGGCAGGCTGGCCCGTCCCACTACTTCCGCCGATGCCGGGTACGAGAGGGTCGCTCGGCGCAGCAGCGGTAGCTTTGCTCCAGCCTCACGGGGGTGCGCCTCGCTGCGACGGAGCTTCACACGCTCAGCCGCAGGGGGAAGCGCCGCCGGAACAACGACAGGTGGTGGCGGAGGCGGAAGAGGACCGGCCGAAGGAGATGCTGCGACGACCGCCCCATGGGAACACGCACGTGATATCCACGTTGCATCCACGTGCAATAGGTGGATTAGGCGGATGGATTTTTCCACCCAAAATCGACGTAGAGCGTTCGTCGATTTTGCAGCGAAATAATTACTGCAAGAATTCAACGTCGATTCCACGTCGATGTTGCAGCGAATGAGAGACGCTGTAGATCAACATCGATTCCACGTCGATTTTACAGCGATATAAATGTTGCTATAATTCGACATCGCTTCCACGTCGATTTTGAGTCGAAGAAAGAGTTGCTGCGGATCGACGTTTAATCCACGTTGATCGTTTGTGGATTGTAAAATCGTTGCGTATGTTCAGCCGCAAACACTAATTGGATAGGAAACAACTGTTAAAATGCCGTGCACCGCTTCCAAGTCAAGACTGTTCCCCAGCTTGAGGAGAAAATCCGCTAGAACGTTGTAGAAAGCCCGGGTCTACCAAGGTGCGCGAGCAGCGCAAGGCACATCGCCCGCCTTCGTGTCGTCCCTCAGTTGGCCTCGTGGCGCAGTTGGTAGCGTTGCGGTGCCGTAAGGCACTGGTCCTGGGTTCGAATCCCGGGAAACAATGAATATCCCTTCTACAATTCATCGAGTGCGAAGGTAACAGAAATGTAACACAGTCTAAACAACAAATGCCAAAAAAGAAGTTTTGTTTTGAAGAAGGTGAACATTTTACAAGAATATTGATCGGTGAACTAATCCACGTCCCATCCACGCCGCCTCGCGCGTCACTTAAGGCTCGATGTCGACTCGACGATACACGTCGATTCGACGTGGGCAGTCAACATCCCCTCAACGTCGCATCCACGCTCATGTTCCCATGGGGCGGGGCGCCCTGGCGCGCGCGCAGCAGCGACGTCCACCAGAAGTTGACCAAGGACGCGAGGGAAAGGAGCACCAGCGCCCCCAGGAGTACAAATTCCTCGCCCGGGAAGAAGCTGTAGCTGCGCATGGGCACCTCCTCCAAATCCGGGACGTCGATCACAGCCCGGTGCACCGGCGCAAGGAAGCGCGGCGAGTGGCTCGTCCAGTTCGAGTCAAGCACCAGTCCCATGGTGGGCAGGACTGGCAGCGCCGCCACCTCCCCCACGTCGTGGATAGCCTCGTGGACCATCGTGGACCAAAGGGCAGGAAGTATGATCTCCCCCGAAGCAACCACACTGGCGTTGTCGTGCGCAACGTCGCGGCGCTCAATGATGACCTCCCCGCCGACGTCGGCCCTGCAGTGGGGCGGCACGGTCACGTGGTGAGCAGCCAGCCCACCCGACGGGAAGACTTGCCCCTGCTCGTTGCACATTACCCGCAATGGCCGCTCCGTGGGGTTGGCGACAACGAACCGGTCGACTGCCAGCTGCACCACGGCGGGATGGACCTGCCCATCGCAAGTAAAGGCACACTGACCGATAAGGCTGCTGACTGCGCCCCCTTTGATGGCGGCCCGAATGCAGCGGGCAGTCGGTGAGAAGTCCACCACTCTCGGCAGTTGGCAGGCGGACTGCGAACGGCAGTGGCGGGCAGCATCCCCCTGCAAGACGGTGACCTTGTCCCCAGACCGGGCGGCAAGCACAGCATCTGGAAACAGGCGGCAGGTGGTGTTGCGCCAAATAAAGGGCAGAGGAACGTACTCAACCACGCGCCATTCCTCCCGGATGTTGATCAGCGGCACCTTGACCCAAATGTGCAGCTGCCGGTCTGTGACGCTGCAGTGAGTCAGCGGCGCCGTGTAGAGGGCTGAAACGTCGTCCACGGCCAGGCGGACGCGGCGGTTGGAGAGGCGCGTCACCAATGCTGACGCGGCTGCTCGCAGGCGTTCCACAGGCACCAACTGCGCGGACAGGTGGTTGGTCGCGCAGGCCCCCAGAGCCGCCGCGAACGCAGCCTCGTCCGCCAGAGCCTCCTCCAGCGTGGCGTGGAGCTCCATGGCGTGGACAAGGATGTCACTTTGGGAGAGCCACGTCCTGTAGAACGATGTCATGTCGTTGGCCAGCGCCGCGTTGGCCCCCTCCAGCCGGTCGAACGTAGCCTCGACGGCGGCCGAGAAGTTCCTCATCTCCCCGATGGTGTGGTGGAGGTCCCCCTCAAGCGTGGAATGCGCGTTCACCAACGACTGCACCGTCGCCTTGAGGCGCCGCTCGTTCTCCACGAGGGGCACCAACTGGCTGTCGACCGCCACGTCGCAACACCAGTTTAGGAGCCCCCCGAGAGCGGCGACGCCACGACGGCCCCGGTAGGGCCGGACCGCCGTGTCCTGGGCTAATCCGATCTTCTGGATTAGCCCAGTGACCGCGTGCTTCCAGGCGTGGCTGGTGTCGGCCATCCGCAGCTGAGATTGCTGCGTCAGCATCGACGCCAGCTTGGCCGCAAGCTCGGTGGCCCGGCCCGCATCAAAGTCCGGAAGTAGGCGCACAAAATGCACCGTTTCAGCTGCCTCAGCCGGGAACTTGCCAGGGAGCGGCCTCTCCACAAAGCCCGTGGAAAGGCGGACGCCGAGCCAGTCGTTGCTGCCCCCGGCGAAGCTCAATACTCCCACAGCGGCCACGAAGCACGGAAACAGCTCCATCTGTAACGGGACACGAGTGCTCTCAGTCATCTGCCGGCAGGTGGTACCTTTCCAAATTCCAGGCGTGGACCGGCCTGTCCTCCAGGCGGCCACGGACCGGGTAGCGGACGAGGTACGTCTGCTCGTTGAGCCGCTGCACGACGTCGTGGGGCCCCGAGAAGCCACCCCTTTTCCACCCAAACGGTGACCCAGGGTGGAACAGCTTGACCTTGTCTCCCGGCTGGAAGTCGACGCGCTGGTGTTTGGCATCGGAGAACCGTTTCATGCGCTCCCTGTAGTGCATCAGGTCCACGCGAAGCTGCTCCCTGTCGGCGGCAAGCTCGCGCATTTTCGCTTCCAGGGAAACGCTGCGCAAGGGGGCAAGGAGGTTGTCGAGACTCAGCCGAGGGATGAACCCATGCAACGCAGCAAACGGCGACACCTTGATGTCGGGCATGACAGAATTATTGATCATAAAGGCAATTTTGGGAAGACACGGCAGCCAGTTAGACCCTTCCTCATTCGCCATGAAGTGAAGCTGACGCTTGATTCTCCGCACTGCCCCCTCTGCCGCGCCCACGCAGAAGTGAGTGTGCGGCGGCGCGATGTTCTGCTGCACGCCAGCTGCAGACAGGTGTTCGGAGAACTCGGCCGACGAGAACGGGTGCGCGTCACTGTAGAACCGCCGGGGAAGCCCATAGAGACATTCCATGCCGGTTCGGCCAGGGCCTGAAGGTGACCATTGACGATTTCCGCGCCGCTTTGGCATTTTTTTGTACTCGTCGAGATAGGGCGATTGCCAAATTTTTGGGTCCCTAAGTCCATTTTTGCGCCCAGGGTGGCAATTTTTAGATTTCTCTGAACTTTCTTTAGTGGTTTTGTTGAAATTGCGCTTCGAAGTCCCTTTCTTGGCTCTCCACGGCACAATTTCAACGCTAGCTCAATGATTTTGTGCTTAAAAGATGCGTATTGAATAGAGGAAGAGACTCCAGTGGTCGAATTCTACTTTTGAAGTCATCTTCGTGGTGATCCAAGCGATGTTGCAAATTAAAAACATGTAAAAATGAGGTAATTTTTGCTAACTTTGGCGAGGGATCTTTCGATGACCGACATCGAAATTTGAACTTTTACTAGCGGATTCTTGAAGGTCTCGAGGAGATCTTTCGAGTTCCGGTGCCAGAAAGTATGGGACCGGCCCTAGTTAAGCCGCTACACCGCTCCAAAGTTTCGAAAAATCCCAAATTTGCACTAAATGGTGCAAGGAGTGGACTTTCGCTTGCAGGCCCACGGCAATTGCCATGCGAGTCCCAGGCCATCTCGGCCCGACTAAAACTGACCCCTGCAATAACTTCTACTTGATCCCAAGCCCCAGGGTCACTCACCGGCTCGGGGGTAAAGGGGAGGGGTGGAAAGAATACAGTGAATTTTCACAAAATTATGCCCTAAGCTTATATGTCGTCCTTGCCCCGCATCAGTGGTGATTATGGACCTCAGGCCCAGTATGTTTGACAATACTTGATTCCGCCTCCCGCAACTCCCCCCTCGGGAGAAGCGAGTGCTCTACAGGCGTTCGCTCACATTTGTCCGCGGCGAGCGCCTGCGATTTAGTAGAGCAGGCAGCCCTTGCAGCACGCGTGCCGTTTGGTGGCCTACCTTACAGGCGCTTCGGCCCTGGACCACAGGCCCTTGTACACTTTCTTCGGCCCCCTCTGCTAAAAGCGTCGTCTCAAAACATAACCGCAGTAAAATGGGATTGGAATTTTCAAAGAAAAAGCAAGTTCACCGAAAATGTTGCTCATTGTATTTAGGTCCTTGCAAATTTTTTACCGTGGTTTTAATGACTTCTTCCTTAGCTTGGCTATGTTTTTGATCCTTGAAATTCCGCCCTTGCCAATGGAATACTCTGATGAGGCTTCCTTTGATACTGGGACTGTTCCCAGGACGTTTGGAATGGGTGGCACATGGCCGCTTCAGTCTTCATTCCAGGTGAACTTTGTTGCTGAGAGAGGTGGGTGGGTAGAGCAGCATCAGGTCAGCTTCTTGCTCTTGCATGTCAATGTCTGTGATGAGATCCACATAGGTTTTTTCTCGCTACTATTACGGCCTCAAAATTATTAATTTCGAAAGTCAGTGGCCTACTGGTTTCGCAGATCTCATGGATGCGGAAAAAGCGTGTGTCAGAGCTTACGCTTTTGCAGCCAGCTGTCGTTTCTAAATCATTTTTCCTCCCTATCTGATATGTTTAAAAAGACAGCCATTTTCTTTTCAATCTCTGTATCTTTTTTCTTCATTTAGAAACGACAGCTGGCTGCAAAAGCGTAAGCTCTGACACACGCTTTTTCCGCATCCATGAGATCTGCGAAACCAGTAGGCCACTGACTTTCGAAATTAATAATTTTGAGGCCGTAATAGTAGCGAGAAAAAACCTATGTGGATCTCATCACAGACATTGACATGCAAGAGCAAGAAGCTGACCTGATGCTGCTCTACCCACCCACCTCTCTCAGCAACAAAGTTCACCTGGAATGAAGACTGAAGCGGCCATGTGCCACCCATTCCAAACGTCCTGGGAACAGTCCCAGTATCAAAGGAAGCCTCATCAGAGTATTCCATTGGCAAGGGCGGAATTTCAAGGATCAAAAACATAGCCAAGCTAAGGAAGAAGTCATTAAAACCACGGTAAACAATTTGCAAGGACCTAAATACAATGAGCAACATTTTCGGTGAACTTGCTTTTTCTTTGAAAATTCCAATCCCATTTTACTGCGGTTATGTTTTGAGACGACGCTTTTAGCAGAGGGGGCCGAAGAAAGTGTACAAGGGCCTGTGGTCCAGGGCCGAAGCGCCTGTGAGGTAGGCCACCAAACGGCACGCGTGCTGCAGGGGCTGCCTGCCTGCTCTACTTAATCGCAGGCGCTCCCCGCGGACAAATGTGAGCGAACGCCTGTAGAGCACCCGCTTCTCCCGAGGGGGGAGTTGCGGGAGGCGGAATCAAGTATTGTCAAACATACTGGGCCTGAGGTCCATAATCACCACTGATGCGGGGCTAGGACGACATATAAGCTTAGGGCATAATTTTGTGAAAATTCACTGTATTCTTTCCTCCCCTCCCCTTTACCCCCGAGCCGGTGAGTGACCCTGGGGCTTGGGATCAAGTAGAAGTTATTGCAGGGGTCAGTTTTAGTCGGGCCGAGATGGCCTGGGACTCGCATGGCAATTGCCGTGGGCCTGCAAGCGAAAGTCCACTCCTTGCACCATTTAGTGCAAATTTGGGATTTTTCGAAACTTTGGAGCGGTGTAGCGGCTAAACTAGGGCCGGTCCCATACTTTCTGGCACCGGAACTCGAAAGATCTCCTCGAGACCTTCAAGAATCCGCTAGAAAAAGTTCAAATTTCGATGTCGGTCATCGAAAGATCCCTCGCCAAAGTTAGCAAAAATTACCTCATTTTTACATGTTTTTAATTTGCAACATCGCTTGGATCACCACGAAGATGACTTCAAAAGTAGAATTCGACCACTGGAGTCTCTTCCTCTATTCAATACGCATCTTTTAAGCACAAAATCATTGAGCTAGCGTTGAAATTGTGCCGTGGAGAGCCAAGAAAGGGACTTCGAAGCGCAATTTCAACAAAACCACTAAAGAAAGTTCAGAGAAATCTAAAAATTGCCACCCTGGGCGCAAAAATGGACTTAGGGACCCAAAAATTTGGCAATCGCCCTATCTCGACGAGTACAAAAAAATGCCAAAGCGGCGCGGAAATCGTCAATGGTCACCTTCAGGCCCTGGCCGAACCGGCATGGAATGTCTCTGGATAGTGTCGTAAAAGGCCGAGAAGGTTTTACTGTGGAAATTACAGTCGTCAAAGTACATGGAAAAATTCGGAGAATTTTTCGACAGTTGGACACCTTCGGGAAGCTGCGCTGTGCCAGGGTGCAACAGTGGAGCGTACACCCTGTACATTGCAAGCGCGAGGTAGAAAGGGCTGGATTTCATGCCCTGGGGCAGGGTTGCCCACTTGAATTTACCAAACTCACACTCAAAAGAGAAAATGTCCCGAGAGAGACCCTCTTTCAAGGGAATTTGTTGGAAGGCAACTTTGAGATCAATGGAGGCCAAATACCGAGCGCCGACGAACTTGTCGAGGACTTCGTCGACACGAGGTATGGGCCAAGACACGTCAGCAATCTGCTTGTTGATTTTCCGCAGGTCTGTAATCATACGAAACTTCCCGTTGGACTTACGAACAAAACAGATAGGGCTGGAATAGGGACTTGTCGAAGGCTCGATGATCTTCTGCTCCAAGAACTCGTCGAGCTGCTCCCGGAGTGCTTCCCGCTCGGCCTTGGACAGGCGGTACTGGCGACTCCGGACAATCTTGGTATCGGCAAGGGCGATCTCCACTTCAGGAACTCTGGCAACCTTTAGTCCCTTGTTTGAATCTGCAAAACAATCTCGATACGACTCCAAGAGGGCAAGAAGTTTACCCCGTTCGGCCGCATCCATCGCCGGGTTGATGTTGAACTCGAAAGGTGGGCTCGGTTCCTCGCTGGACCCCGCCGTCGTGGAGCAGACGTGCGCTGACCCCGGGGGCTGGCGTAGAGGGAACAGCCGACCGAGGACAGTGCCGGGGCGAAGTGTCCAGGCGCGATTAGACAAATTGCAGATAGGGATGGCGACAGAGTCCGAACCGATAGCGACACTGGCAAGAGTTAATTTAGTGTCCCGACGCAATGAGCGGTCAGGGACAAACACACAGTCACCTTCAAACTTCGGCCAAACCCGAAACCGGACGTAGTGAGTGCTGCGAGGCTGAACACGGACGGCACGAGCAGGGAGGACGAGAGGAGGGCCCGTGTAGCAGGCCGCTGGCTGGATGGACGCCAGCCACTCCCGTGGCTCCGCTGCGGCTGGGCTGGGCGGAGCAGGTGTCGCCGCCGCGCACAAGGGGCGCGCCACCCGGCGCTGACGCTGTGGGCGGCCCCCCAAGATCGGCCCCATGTCGTGCAACTCATTGTTGAACCGGCGGAAAATTTTCATCAAATGGAAGTCCAAAACAATGCCGAAAGTGGAGAAAAAATCTAGTCCCAAAATAAATGGCAAAGCCAGTCTGCGGGCCACAAACACACGCAGAGGGAAAACACTGTTGCCTACCATTAGCTTCAGCGAAGCGCAGCCCAACACCGGCAGGGGCGACCCCGAAGCCGTGTTCAAACCAAAGGGTGCTGGTGTCAACTCACCCTTCTCTTTGATGGAATGGAAGAGTGCTTCGTTGATGACGGTGACTGCGCTGCCGGAGTCTAGCTGGGCGATGACTGGGTGGGGCGTGGCGTTTCCCTCGAAGACGGAGACGAGCCAGGTGGCGAGTAGGCGTGGCTGCGCGGGGCGGTGAACTGTAGCCGACTGACCCACTGCTGCTGCTGCTGACTGGCCGACTGCGGCGACAATGCAGGGCCCGGGCCGGCGCGGGTGGTAGCGGCGTCGAGTAAGCACACGCAGTGCTGACAGGGGCGCGCGAGGCGGCCCGTTGGTCGTTGCACTGCCCACGGCTACTGCTGACGCGGCGGCCTGCTGGTCGCTGAACTGCCCCGGTGAAGCAACCCACTGCGAGTCGCCACTGGCTGAACCAGGGCACTGCCCGAGAACTGCTGGGTTTGCTGAACAGACTGGTTGCGAAAGAATTTGTGAAACATGCCAAGTGTTGCCAAGGGCCGGAGTTGAATTACCCAGAAGTGGAGATGCTACTCGTTTTTTGGACACTGGTACTGGAGATGACCCGTCTGGCCGCACTTGAAGCACGTCCTGTCTCCAGATTTGCTTCTAGCCCGACCTGACGCTGGAGTCCTGGAACGGTCCCGACGGGGCCCGGACGGCTGAGGCGGCCCAGGCTGCTGCCCGGGGCCACCCTGCGGCCAGGCCTGCTGGGGCCAGCTCTGCTGCCAGGGTCCTTGCTGAGACCAACCTTGCTGGGGCGGACCCGGTGGCTGCCAGCCTGGTGGTGGTCCCTGCGGCGGCCAGCCCTGCTGGGACCAGCCCTGCTGCGGCCAGCCCTGCTGCGGCCAGCCCTGCTGCGGCCAGCCCTGCTGCGGCCAGCCCTGCTGCGGCCAGCCCTGCTGCGGCCAGCCCTGCTGCGGTGGAGGACCCGTCGGCGGCCAGCCTGGCTGGGGCCAGCCGGGCTGAGGCCACGGGCATGGCGGGCCTGGGTAGAAAGGCCCCTGGGAGGGTCCAGAGCCCCAAGACGGCCCTGGAGGCCACCGCGACGGACCCGGCGAGTTCCTCGGCCCGGAGGCGCTGCGCTGTCGGTACGGCGTGGAGTCCCGGCGACCCGTCCCGCTGTCGAACGCCTCCTTCCGCGACACGTGTCCAGAGGTCCCCTGGCTACGGTCTGGGCCAGGCGGGGTCGGCGGCAGGGCGTTGACCTGGGCGCTGATGTTCATGCTGGACAAGTTGTTTATGAGCCTCACCAAGTCCGCAGCTGACACCGCGCCGTCTCCCTGCGGCTCCGCGATGGAGACCTGCTTTCTCGGCCGGCTCTGGTCGATCTTCTTGGCCGCGGCGAGGAGGTCCGGGACAGTCCGGAAGGTGAAGGGCCGGAGCTGGTCGGCGATCGGCTGGGCGAGACCGTCCTGGATGGTGGCGGCGATCTCGGCCTCCCGCACGAACCGCCCACACTTCCGGACCATCCGCTCCTTCTCGGCTATGTACTCCTCCAGCGTCTCGTCGTCGCGCTGCTTCCGGTCGGTGGCGTTGGTCACCTGTTGTAGGGGTAGCTTTTGGTCCCTGTGCCGGGCAATAAAGGCGTCCCTTATTGGGGGCCAGGCGGCCGAACCCCGGCCGTACTGGTCAATAAGGGACTTTAGCACACTTTTCGCCCCTCCCGCCAAGCAGCGTTCAAACATGTTCACGTAGAAGTCCGGCTCCAGTTGACACATCTCCCAATACGATTCCTGCTCCTCTATAAACTCTTCCGGGTCGCCGCTGACCGACCCGCGGTAGCGGTTGAATGGCGGGTGGGGGAGCATTCTGCAGCGGCGACCGCGACCGCCCGGGTGGTCTGGCGGTCTCACTGGTGGCCTACCTGGCGGGGGCCCCGCGGGCTGCTCGGCCTGCGGCCGCGGAGACGCTTGGCTGCGTCTGCGGCGCGCTTCGCGTCTCGCCCGAGGTGGAGTGCGCCGCCTCTCCGGCGTCGGGGACCTGGTGGTGGCCGGCGACCTGCTCCGCGGTGTTGTGCTCGGAGGCGACGGCAGGTGCAGAGACAGCTCTGAGTCGTACGAGAACGTCTCTGGCCACGACAGAAGGGACGACGTCGATGGAAAATCGTCGAAAAGTTCCGTACTGCAGTGGACGTTGTCGTACCAGTTGCTCTCCCGGCTCGCCCTGCTGCTGTAGATTTTATCGTATAGGTCGCCTACCTCCTCGCTGCTTGGCCAGAAATCCGACGCCGCGTCCTGCGGAGAAGCCCCGACGAAGGGTTGGCCCCGGAGGCGCTGGAACTGGTCCAGGAGGCTCTGCCCGTCGGCCGTAGGAACGTCCTCCTCGAAAACGTCTAGCAGTGCCTCGTAGACGTCGCCGTTCCTCCGGCCAAGGCGCCGCGTCTCCCGGACCCTCTGCAACCACCGGGACAGCTCCACCCGCAGTACCTGGTCACCAGTTGACGCTCCGGCGGGCTGCGGACCAGTCACGATCCGGCAAAGGTTGGAACCCGCCGTGCGCAGACGCTCGTTGAGAGCGCCAATCCTCCGCTGTACGTTCCGCGTGGAGAACGAGGTGCGCTCGCCTAGCTGCAGGACGATGTCCTCTAGGTCGCTGACGAGCGCTTCCAGCTGGGCGTCGTCGAAGCTCGCCCAGCTGTCGATCTCCACGAACGGACCGGCTTCTTCCTCCTGGGGGGTTCGCCGGCGGCCGTGCCGCGCGAAGAACCACGCGGCGCTCAGGAATCTGCGTGTTTGGAGTCCTAGGGCCGGGCTAAACCCAGATGCCATGGGGAGGCATACCCGAAGGCATTGTCCGGATTGGGAATGTTAGACGGCAGCGGAGGAGAGAGATGGAAAGACGGATAGGACAGAAGACAGACAGTGAGAAGGCAGACAGTGCCAGAAGCAGCACGAGAAAAATTCAAAAAAGAGAAAAAAAGAGAAAAAAATTAAACGAAACTGACAACTAACTTAAGCTAACAATTAACCTAAACTAACAAGTAGCCTAACTCTTAACCTTATTTAACCGTAAACCAATCCTAGCCTAAATTCCAAAATTATTACTTAAGTGGCTGACAGACGAGCCGCAAAATAAGATAACACACGACCACCACGTACTTGCTGAGACCTAAAGCACGTGATGGCGCGAGCCTTACACACTAATGAGCCGACAAGCCGCGAGTCACGGACAGGTTTTTGGATTCCCCCCCTTCAAGACCGCACCTCCACCATGTGCAAGTCCAGGCACCGCCCTCAGGCTGTTTAGAGAGCAGTGCTTGGACTTTGCGGGGTATAGCCCAGTTCTGGTCTGGGGGACCTTTAAGGGTTGAAGGGTTGTGGGGAATAAAGATGCCTGGATCACCTGATATAGCTGGTGCTGCTCCGGTGTGCCCCAGACCTCCCTCGGACCGCTCTATGCCCCTCAGCTGGCACTTACCGACTGGCGAGCTCCGCTCGGCCAGGCGGGCTCGCGGCGCGGTTGCTCGGCGCACTCTTGCTTACTTGACAATTTTGGACTTGGGGTTCGGGCTGTGCCCCGTTGCGACAGAACGCAACACTACGCCCCCCCCAGACGTTTTGTTTTCCTCACGCAGCTCACCTCTTCCGAAGATAACAACTTTTGAGTAAGTTTTTTTACACCGGTAAAACTGAAGCGTAGTTGTATGCTTGATTCAAGCATACAACTACGCTTGAAGACTTTACGCTTGACGTCAAACGTAGAGAAGAAATTCTCCCATGCATTAAGATAGGCCAAAGAGGGGCAAAATGGAGAACTATGCTTGAAGCCGAGCGTAGTTCTACTACGCTTGAAGAAAGGCGTAAAACTACGCTTGAGTTCTACCAGTGTACTGTCGTCTCACACGTGTGTGTGTGTGTGTGTGTGTGTGTGTGTGTGTGTGTGTGCGCGCGCGTGTGTGCGCGCGTGTCTGTATGTAGGGTTGGGAAAAATCTTTTATTATTTTATCACCATGCATTGCACATTTGTGAACGCACGCGCGCGCGCGCACGCGTTGTGTGTGTGTGTGTGTGTGTGTGTGTGTGTGTGTTAGTAAATCATTTTAAATCAATTTTATTTTAATCTTTCTATGTAACCATACTAATTCTTTGGTCTTTATCTGTGTGTTCAGAACTATGGCTGCCAACGCATCGTCATCATCCACCCCGAAGTTGGCCAACAACAACGTTCTTGCTGACGTCACAGCCCGTCTGCAGAATACCATGGCGGCCTTCGCCAATCTCAACACGGGGGAGGATTTCACAAGCATCTCAACACTTCGACGATTCCACCCGTATGAAACTACCAACTTCGAGCGTGTTGGGACTTCGTTCGGAGATAAAATCAAGTGCATCATTAAAATTGAGCAGGGGGAAGAAGTCCCTGTTATACTACCTAGTCGGTTGTCAAAACTTACTGATGAGGACCTGTTTAATTTAAACGAAGCTATAGCGGAGGGTCAACCCCCCCTGTTTAGTGTACAACGGCAAGCGAAAGCAAGCGTTCGACGTGTCTTTAACGTTCCCTTCGATGAATTAGTGGTTTGTTGTATTCACAATGAATAAATAAAAAAATGTATTTTTGAAAACTAACCAAAAAACTGTGTTTGTGTATCTTGCATTTCATCCCCCCAAAAATACCTCTTTTTTGAATTCAATTAATCATTTATTTCGTTTTTGTTTTGGATTACAAACTACACATGCTTGCCACTTCATTTCAACTAATTGCTTTATAAAATTTTTAACATGCAAACAACTTTCTAAACAAGTTCGTGGAGCAGGTGCCAAGCGAGGTTTCCGAGGCTGGGCTTGAACACGTTTCACTGCTTTGACTTTAACAGGCTTTTGATGAGACTTTTTTGGTGTCTGCTGCTGTTTGCAGCTTTGGGATCTGGCCACCTCTGAAACACACACACACACACACATAAAATAAATATCGGGAGTCTTGTTCAAGATTTTATAGTAAAATCATTCTCAAATTTCGAAAAAACTTACCTTGACATGTGGGTGCGTGAAGCTGCTCTATCATATCACACTGAGATTTCACATGCTTCACAGGTCTCACTTTAACGGACTTCGACGTGAGTGCTCGAGGCTTTTTCTGTGCCCGACTCGGAATTTCGACCTCCTCTAAAAACACACAAAAACAATAAATTTAAAAAAGTGTAACCAAGATTTAATGAAAACAAATCATTCTCTTTTTATATTTTTAAAAAGACATACCTTGATATGAAGGAGTGGAAACCATTTCTGATACATCACAACTACCAATTGTTGATACAATTTCATCAGCAGCTACACACAAAAAAACTTGATGAGACTTTTTAAAAAAAAAAACAGTTTTAAACACTCTTTATAGAGAGAACAAACCTGACGATGGCTGAAGCTCAGGGAGAACACCCCAGACATAGCGAGTTGCATCCAACTCACTCAACATACTCAGATCAATAGTAGGTGGAAGCGCCATGCTGAAATACACACTACCACTCACGACCCAGACCAGATACCAACTAACGTACCTCCTCACTTTTTCCACTCCGGTTTCACATACAGTGGAATACTTTTTTTCATTGGACAGCAGTTTTTACTCCCACCACCTATATAACGACCACACAAGAATGTAAACAAAAGCCGCTCGTCCCTATTCAAAATTGCACACATCTGCAGTTTCATTGTTTTGTAAAAGAAGACGCTATGCAGTGATTTTCAAGTAGAAGTATTTTTTAATATTTTTCTTCCTCCCCGACCCCGAGAGTCGAACCAACAACTCTTATCCACACACAACTAACTCCTTGACCATCACTCCATAGCGTCTTCACTAGTACTGACATCTAGTGTAAGGCATAACATTTTGACTACAGCTCTATGAAACCGCACCACTATACACAGCAGATTGGTTGGTGTGTTCCCATACCCAAACCCCCATCTCCCCCTTCCACTTGTCTATGTCCCCATTACTCCGCTCCCGCTCCCGCTCCGCTGCTCCGCTACCCCCCACCACTCCGGTGCTCCGCTGCTCCGTTGCTCCCACTTGTTCCCATACCCGCCTTTTCTCCTCTCTTTGGGTGTGTGTGTGCGCTTGTGTATGTGTGGGTGTGTGTGTGTGTGTGTGTGTGTGTGTGTGTGTGTGTGTTTGCAACGCGCGTTGCCTCGAACACACAAAATGAGATGCTGAATTGTCATCATCTCCCAGCCGTTGTAGCTCGGGAGGAACGCTGGCGTGAGCACACGCGCGCGCGCGCACTAACAAAAACACACACACACACTTCAATTCAGACTTTTAAATTTCTAATCTTTCTCTTGATCTTTTCAGCTCCGTGTGTCGACGTGCGAGTGCCTCCCACAACCATAACCAGTCGCGGTTCAGTGCCACACTTCATTAAATTCGGTGAGTGCACTCTGTCCATTTTTTCCTTTATGTTCATTTGTCGCGATTCTTAACTCCCACCCTACGCGCGTCCGCTCAGAACGATGCAGTCCCTCCAACATTTAGCCGGACGGAAGGTGCCAGTGGCGGTGTTGCTACGCATGCGCATGGGACTGCCCTCCGAGCACCCTGTCAGCCGCATGCTAGCCCCGTACCTGAGCTACAACTGCATCGGGTTCCCGTGACCCGGTGTGGTGGGCGTTCAGTCCGGGCACCTCGACCTGGTGGAGGAGTGGAACGTGGAGCAGCTCGAGGTGGACACCACCTCATGCTGGCGCAGTCGGCGCTTTTACGACTAGGGGTACGCGCCGTTTTGTTTGGGCGCGTAGTAGGCGAGCGATGCGTCTGTATTCTTGTAGAAGATGGTGAAGAATGTATACATGCAAAGTAAGGCCAATACAGGGTCTTCCGTAATGAAAGGGCCGGAAATTAATGTCATTTTCGTGATTATCTTACTTAAAACTGCAGGAAACAATGTGAAACTCAATTTTAACATTTTGGTCCGAAATTGGTAAATATTTGGAAAAGTAAAGGCCTGAGATGAAATTGGAAGTCATTTTCGATCAGCACACCAAAAACTGCAGGAAACTATGTAAAACTCGATGTAAAAATTTTGGTCCGAAATTTGGGAAATATTTGGAAAAGTAAAGGTCTGAGATGAAATTGGAAGTCATTTTCGTGATCAGCACACCAAAAAATGCAGGAAACTATGTAAAACTCAATGTAAAAAATTTTTGGGCCAAAAATTTGGGAAATATTTGGAAAAGTAAAGGTCTGGGATGAAATTGGAAGTCATTTTTGTGATCAGCACACCAAATACTGCAGGAAGCAATGAAACACCGAGGAAATTTTGGTCCTAAATCATGTAATTCTAGTTGAAAGTATGGGTCTTCAGTTGTTAGGTTTTTTAAGAGTGTTTCCTGTTCATGGTGTCTTGCCATGAACCCTGACCCTGTTACTCAGTCGAGTAATATTTAACAGCCAGCATTGAATTGCTTAATACGATTCACAGAAGCTTCAATTACCATTCGATATCTCCTTGTTACTGAACTTATGAATACGCAATTTTATAAGACCACCTAAGAAGCCTTTCTCCCTTTTCTTTTAAACTAGTGGATTTAACTATATTAATTTATCTGCATTAATTAAAATGAGACATATTTATAGGCAGACTGATTGCAACTACTTTACGGAGAAGACCTTCTGTCAGATCCAATGAATCATTTCATAGAATCCAATGTCGAGGCCACTTATTGCTGAACGCAACTTAATATTATTCATAAGGGTCATTCCATGTCAACTCAACCAGTTGTCAGACTCATGTCCTCGGAATTCCATGAAAATGGGCCAAAACGTCGAGAAAGGTGTCCCTAGCAACCCCCTAAAATAGTTTTGAAAAATTTTGAATTTTTTACGAAATTTTGCGTTTTTAGGGTACTTTTATGCAGTCCTTCAGAAAAATAGGCGGTGCTGCGTCAGTTTTTGAGCTAGCGAGCTCATTTTTTTTTTCAAAATGTTCAGAATGACTTCAGGATGTTGAAAATTTCAAGTCCTGTTCAATTTGAACACTTTTTGTTCAAAGTGTTTAATGTTCAAATTTTGAACATTGAACATTTTGAAGACCGCATTTTTCAAAAAAGTTGAAAATCCTACATTTTGTTCCTTAGACTATGACTAAAAAGTTGACAAAGTTTGGTGGGAGTGTTTTGCGTTTGAACGGAGATATGGCAATTTTAAGAAAGTGTTCAGACTCACAACACAGTAAATTGAAATGGCAGAATCTGTAGTGGTCTGAGAGCACCAAATCGCAGAAACCGACAGGTAAATAGATCCGGGGCGGTTTTGCACCAAAACCGCCGACGGCAAACCCATTCTGCACACAGGCGACGGAATCCGTGCACTCGGCCACGGAATCCGGACAACACTGCACCGTAACCGTCAATTGCGATTCCCTCCACCTCGCGACTTTGAGATGTTATATTATTGGAAATAAAGAGTGTATATGTACCGCGTAAGGAAAATATTAATTTATAGACTTGTCAAAGCAAGAAAAAGTATGCACACTCATCAAAATATGTGAATAATGTCCAAAACAACAGAAGCATCCAGAGACACAGTGAGGTTAGGTTGGCCAGCGAGACCGCAACCCCTTAGCAGTTTCTGTGAGCCCATCCCAGTTTCTGTGGAGCCTTTGTCAGTTTCTGTTAGCCCATGCCAGTTTCTGTGACTACCAAATTCAGAATCATTTACTGGCGGTTTCTGTGCTGGACCGTTACGGATTCTGCCATTTGAATTTACTGTGAAATCACCAGAGCCGCGTCCTCTAACTTCCCCGTGTTGCGCGGAGGGGCTCACCACGTCTATAGATGTGAAGGCATGTGTAGGCAGACCTTCTCCCCCCCCCCCCCCAATCATAGGTAAGTTGGTTTCAATGGAGAACGCTTTCGAGCACTTGCCTAGGTATTGCGGGTTGCATCATCCCCCCCCCCCCCCCCCCGCCGTCTCTGCAGGGGCATTTCGAACATAAGTCGTCCACACTAAGAGCCAAGACACACTGTAAACCTTCCGCGGAGCTTTCGCGTCGCCGCGGCCGAGCTCCGGGGTGGCTCCGTGCACCCGGGCCGGGCGGTGTTGCCAAATTGGCCGATGCGTTCACGCGCGCGGCGCGCGAGGGAAGGGGCAGGGGAAGCGGGGGTGGGGGTCCGGCGTTCGGCAGTGCATCCCGCGGCGCGGTGACGTGCGGACGTGAGTGAATCCTGTGAAGAAAGGTCACGCGTCGTGAGAAGTCATCATGTCGTGTTCGGTGGGCGCTGCCACCAACACCGCCTGCTCTCCACGGCCCTTCCAAATGCGGGTGACGTTGAACGAGCGCGAAGCTCACCTCATCGACCGGCGATGTGGCGTCCACGTCAAGCTTCTCTGCAAGACCCACTACACGACCTTCGTCAAGAATTACGAGCGCGACCAGCGGTCTTGCTGCAATCCCTTTGGAGACCATCCTAAGACCAAGATGCCTACGAAGCTCACGGCTGTGACAGCTGCACTGCACGACAAGTGCCTGCACGTCCTCCCTGCGGTAATTGAAGGACGAAAACTGTGCATTTCGTGCCGCAAAAAGGTCTACGAACTGGTGAGCCCGGCTGAGGCCGCTACTGCCACCGGGCCGACGACGCCGCGGAGCACCGCAACAGCATCGCAGTGTGCCAGCCCCGCCGCTCCTGGTTTCGTGGTCACCGACGGAATCCAAGCACCGCCGCGTCCCGGGGAAGGACCGCCATCTGTTTCGGGGAGTGTGTCCAGCGATGCGAGTTCGGGTGAGCATTGCTCACCAGCAGGGCCGGTCCTTGGAACCCTAAACAAAGGGCTTGGGGTTTGGGGTGTGACTCCCTTCGTGCAGAAAAAACTTGGGTCAAAAAAGTATGTGAGAGCCAAGTTCAACCAAACCACAAGTCTCTTAAAGCAAACTCTAAATAAGGCTGCAGGAAAATCACTGAACGGCACCGTTTTGTCGGACTATGAACAAGCAGGTGCGGATATGATATCTCAGCTAAAAGTTAAGTTCGCCGCTGCACGCACCTATGCTGAAAAAATCCACATTCTGTCAGTTCTGCCTGCAAGCTGGAAAGCACCACGCATCATTCAAGAATTTGGAGCAACACAGCACATGGTAAAGGTGATGAGAAAGTTAGTTTCTGAACAGGGCATTCTGTGTTCCCCAAATCCCAAAAGAGGCAAACAATTGTCACCTCAAACAAAACAAATAGTGAGGGACTTTTATGAATCTACAGAAGTAAGCCGGGAAATGGCTGGGAAGAAAGAATGTATCAGCGTAGTGGACGATGGCGTTCGGCGCACTGTTCAGAAGCGTCTTGTCATGGGCGATCTACGAGAAATATACAACTTGTTCAAAGAGAAGCACCCTGGAGTCAAGGTTGGGTTTTCGAAGTTTGCGTCTTTACGGCCACGCCACTGCGTGCTTGCTGGAGCGGCTGGGACTCATGCTGTGTGCGTGTGTACGACGCACCAAAACTTCAAGTTAATGTTTATGTGTGCAAATATTGGTGCTCTCAAACTAGAAGATAACAGCCAAGCGTTTCAGAATCACAGGGACTTGGTGTCGGAAACAATGTGTGCTGATCCAACAGAAGACTGCCACTTTGGCCGCTGTCCCAACTGTCCCGGAAGTCAAGCGGTGAAAGAGAAATTGTTCAAGTTATTGCTCGACAACTTTATCTCAGAAGTTTCCTACAAGAGGTGGGTCAAAAAGGAAAACGGCCGATTTGCTCTGGAGACAATATCAGAAGAGGTTGACGACTTTGTTGACAGCATGATCGATTCTATTCCTGAATGGAAACAACACGACTTTATAGCCAAACAACAGGCCAGTTATTATGAGATGCGAAAGAGCACGCTGAAGGCGGGGGAAGTCCTGGTCGTACTTGATTTTTCTGAAAACTGCAATTTTATTGTACAAGACGCCATTCAAGGAGTGTATTAGAACAACGAGCAGGCCACAGTACACCCTTTTGCTATTTATTGGCGCAACCCAGAAACTGACACGGCGGAGCCTATGAACCTTGTCATTATTTCTGACCACCTCAGGCACGTAACTGGAAGTGTCAGCAAATTTCAGGAGGTGCTCATGAAGTTCCTGAAGGAAAAAGTGCCAGGATTAAACAAAGTCATCTACTTTTCCGATGGTTGCCCAGGCCAATACAAAAATCGATTAAACACGAAGAACCTTTTGATGCACAAGGAGGACTACGGAGTGGATGCAGAGTGGCATTTTTATGCCACCTCGCACGGAAAGAGCCCAAGCGATGGCCTGGGTGGCACTCTCAAGCGCTTGGCAACAAAGGCCAGTCTGCAACGGCCTTACGACGGCCAGATACAAACTCCTGAGGATTTGTTTCTGTGGGCCGATGAAAACATCAAGGGCCTCAATTGTGCTTATGTTAAGTCGGTGGATGTCAAGAAGCACTGCCGCAAATTGAATCGTCGCTTCCAGACAGCCCCAGCCGTCACTGGAATACGATCGCACCATGCATTAATTCCTGTCACTGCTGGTTCCATAGTGATGAAAGTGCTGTCCAGGTCAGCAAGCGGCAAAACTGTCACTCTGCGAGAAGAAGCTACACCCCAAGATGACGACGAGAACTCCGACCAGGAGATGGTAGCTGACGCCAGTCCTCAGTCCCGGTAAGCACAATGCAAAAAATTTAACCTTCTTAGGAGAAAAAACAACAACTGAAGTGACATCTTTTTTGCCCAGGCTTCGCCCCATCCAGCAGAGGCGCAGCATAGTGGATCTAACTAACAAGACACCAGTAGCCACTACCCCAACTTGGCAGCTATCTAGGTAAACAGCGCGGACTTTTAAAGGATACGTACTGAAAATTATTAAAAATTATGAATGAGCAGGGACTTTTTTGTTCTAGGTTGCGTCGTAGAGTCAAGTGACGTCAATGGCAATACTTAACTATACTTCTAATGTAACAAATGTAAATAAATCCACACAGTTCTTGTTCAGAACTACTATTTTTTTACCTATGCCAAGTACAAAAGGGGTGGGAGGAGCGGGGGTGGATGGGGTAGGTGGGGGCGGGGGAAGGGGTCGGGGGGAGGGGGGGGGGGGGGGTCCGACCCCTCACTAGATCCCTACGTCACTAGAGACGCGGTGGGCCTCTCCGGGCAACTCGGGGACGCGGTAGCGATAATTTGTAAGTCCGAACACTTTCTTAAAACTGCCATATCTCCGTTCAAACGCAAAACACTCTCACCAAACTTTGTCAACTTTTTAGTCATAGTCTAAGGAACAAAATGTAGGATTTTCAGCTTTTTTGAAAAATGCGGTCTTCAAAATGTTCAATGTTCAAAATTTGAACATTGAACACTTTGAACAAAAAGTGTTCAAATTGAACAGGACTTGAAATTTTCAACATCCTGAAGTCATTCTGAACATTTTGAAAAAAAAAATGAGCTCGCTAGCTCAAAAACTGACGGAGCACCGCCTATTTTTCTGAAGGACTGCATAAAAGTACCCTATAAACGCAAAATTTCGTAAAAAATTCAAAATTAAAAATTTTTTAAAACTATTTTAGGGGGTTGCTAGGGACACCTTTCTCGACGTTTTGGCCCATTTTCATGGAATTCCGAGGACATGAGTCTGACAACTGGTTGAGTTGACATGGAATGACCCATAATGATAGTCATGATGTGCTATTTAATCTTTGAAAGAGTTTAGCAAAAGTATTTACCTAACACTCTGAGTAAATTAAAAAGAGAGCCAACTCAAACCATGACCAACACAAATTACCAGTTGTCGCAGACAATGTATGATTAAGTTAAAAGAATCGTCTCATAAAATCGTATGACCAAGTCAGTGAATCGTCTCATTGTATCTGATGTCAATGGCAAACCTTGAATGCGCTACACTCACTCATCATATGGTTTTCTTTAAGGTTAGTACTATAGTAAACTCACAGCATTGCAATGAAGCCTTTTCCCAGAATCAGTGCCAAGAGTCAGCAAAGACTATTTATTTTGGCAAGATTAGTATCTGGTTTGTACTTATAGAATGTAATAATTTATATATTTTCTAACTGTTATTGAGCAAAGCAAACAACTAAAAAATATAGTGTCTGAGAATATAAATGGAAATACACTCACAAAGGTTAAAAAGACCAAATCATTCTTGCAATTATCAAACACACTCCACTGACTAAAACATTTGCCCTGTAGCGGTGTAGCGGGGGAGGGGAGGGGGCGGACGGACGGACGAAACGCGTAATAATTGTCACTTTCATTTTCCGTATTTCACTGAGTTGACACTCCGGAGGGGTTTCAATCATTCTAAAATATCGAAAAACTATGACCTCACTCACTTCTTAGCCCTTCTGTTCTTCAGTTTGTTTTATTTGCCTATGTTTTGCCACGTCCCGTATTTGAGTGTTGCGGCCGCAAGTATGAAAAATAGCTACGAGCTGCACTGCCAACCTAACCACGCTAAGAACCTAACTCAAAAAGATGTTTTGAATATTTCAAACAAAAGTAATCGTGAATATAAGCAGGGATCCTTAATTTAACTTAACATTTAACCAACACTGCTTTCATAACGTAACATAAGACAATGTTCGCTGAAGGTTAAGGGTACGGGCTTATGAAAGTACTTGCAAAAGTATATCCACACAAATTCGAGACATAAAAAAATAACCTACCCTTTTGAAAAGATGTTCGAAGTTAAGGGTAATAACTTTAACTCTTATGATAACGTTATGATGCCCTTGTGAGGTAAGTTAAGGATCCCTGAATATAAGATAAACTCCCCCTGGGGGAGATTTTGGAGCCTTCCAGTGCGAAATTGATACTATGTGTGCGGTAGTTGCTGAGAAACGTGAGTGAGTTACAGACAGACAGACGCACGACCTGTCACTTTTTGGTGCCCCCAAACACGGCATGGGCTCGCTATCGCTCGCCAATAATCCCAGCCGAGTCGGTCGGCAACCGAAGCGCCCCCGAGTCATAATCACTTTCGGCCAGCCAACCCCGCCTGGCGTGCTCCCCGACTACCGCTTGGTGGAGCGCACGCAGGGACCCAATCATCCCCCATGGTACTACAAGTGTGTTTACTACCGCCTGGATCAGGTCCGCAACCCTACCCGTCAGTTTCCCCCTTCCCCGATTTTCCTGTTTATTTTGCGTATCACTAACTTTGTTTTGTGTGTGTGTTTTCAGTGAAGAGAATGGCTGCTGCCGACATCCTCAAAGAATTCAATAACCTCGATGTCGGGGAGAAGTTTTCTTCAATTTCTTCTCTGCCCGAGAGAGTCCCACACTCCCTCCTCATCATCGAGAGAATAGACACGAAACATGGCCCAAAATTAAGGGGGCACACCAGTGAAAATGCAGAGGCTTCGTAAAAACGTTATTCTGAGTAACGAAACGAAGGTAATGGGCTGAAATTTTATTCTGAACTATAAAATATGTCAATTTAACCAAAAAAGTACACGGCAGCCAGGGGCGGCGACGGAAAGGGGGGTTGGGCGCTATTTTCATTTTTTGGTGACTCGGCTCCACTTTGCCCAACTTTGTGAAGCCCTCGATTGAGCCTGAAACATGGGGTTTCAAAATTTCTCATCAGGACACATGTGGCTATCGTGTGAACCACACACATGTCGGAAACACAATCCTAATTATGTTTTTTTGAGAAGCAAAAAAAGAAACTCATTTTTTGACCATATTTTTCACGTTTCCGTGTCTGTGGCTCAGGCCCTGTACATACTACGACCATATCCGAGGTTCACACGATAGCGGCAAGTGTAGGGAACATTTTGCCGCAAACCGCACTCAATTATCTCAATTTTTGCGCCCGCAATCATGGGCACCAGGCCCAAAAATAGTGTTTCGAGAAAACGACGTTTGAAGTGTAACTACGGTTTACAGGCATTAATCCTCATTACGGACGCAATTTATGACATATTTGAGTTCGGTTTGCGCCAAAATATTCCTTTTTCCAACTGCCTTTCGAGGGTTTGAGGGTTTTGTCATTGGACTTCAAGTGAAACACCTGATCGTTAACAATTGAGGTAAAATATGCAAAAAAATTACCTTTTTGGGAACTTTAAAAATGTGCCCAAGCCAAAGTAATTGGAATTTTGAGGTGGGGTTTGCGGCGTTCGACTCGGGATGAATAGCAGAAAAATAAGATAAAATAAAAAAGGAGGCCGAAATTTGACGATTTTCACTGGTGTGCCCCCTTAAAAGCAAAGGTAGCCGCACCCAGCGGGGATTCCTCCATAGTTATTCGCCCTTCTCGTTTTTTCACGCCTTAGCAATGAGGCGCTTAAAAAAATTAATGCTTGTGCTGATGCCGGGCCCTACGGTCTGCGCTTCATGGGGAGAGATGGTAATTCCTTCAAGGTTAATCTAACTATGGACGATGTTATGTAGTTTGAGATGAAATATATTAACATCATCCAATTTTTTTGCTCTTGTTTCCTGTCTTGTGCCCCGATTTTCCCCCCTCGTCAATCAATGAGACACATTTGCTTCACTTTTTAATTTTCTTTATTTTATTGATAAATTTTTGACAGAGTTTTTGAGCTTTAATCACATTTATCAAGTTTTCCAATAAAATTTTTAAGTGAGGGCAGTCCCCCAATTTACAACCATCCGCTATTGGTACAGTCAATTTTGGTTGAGCCTTGCGAGCACAAGTTTGCTTTTTTTTGCTGTACCCGATGTTGCCTGCCTTTGCGCCTGGGCTTTATCTCCTTTTTTACTGCAACTGAAATGATAGATGTTATCAAATTCAAATTTTTTCTTTGAGCGCTCATTCGCGACGCACTACAGTTTCACTCAAGCTTACCAACTTGTTTCGGAGAAGACTCGCCATTATCGCGCACGCCGACTGAGGACACAATCTCATCACTAGGTGGCACTGAAACAAAAAGACACAGTCAATATAACCTCTCGACACATAGCATGACATATTCCATGGGGGTATTATAACCTCTCTAGTCCCCTTACTCGAGCTTTAACACTGCAAAGCCGGTGGTAAGTTTGCTTGCCACAAATTTGGCAAGCCGTTTTGAATGCCAAAAATTGGCAAGCTTGGCCCGGAAATACCACCCAGCTTGCCAAAATTTGGCAAGCTAATGTGGATTTCCGGCCAAAGCTTGCCAAATTTTGGCATTCAAAACGGCTTGCCAAATTTGTGGCAAGCAAACTTACCACCGGCTTTGCAGTGAACTTACCCGACGGCACGATCTCCTCTGCAGACACACCCCACAGAAGTTGAGTCGTATCAGTGTCACTCAGTAGGCACACCTCTTCGCCTTCAGGCAGTCGGCACCTCCATGACCGTGGTCTGCTGATACTGACGGTGACGGTCATGAACACACTGACACGCTTGCTCTAGCGCTTCCATGGCGGGGTCGAGTAAACTGCTGACACGCGCGCGACATGAGGCACCGCCGCTTTGAACTTTTGCGGTGGAACAGATTCTCACTATGAGTTAACACAGGGGGTGGCAACGGCCTAGGCGGCGCGTGAAACGATGCTCCCCGCTCGGGCCGGCGAGCGACGCGCGGCCGACCACTGTGCACGGTGTCACTAAAATCAACATAACCACATCAAAACTTCATCAAATTGAAAAACCCAGGTCATTTTCAGCATCTACACAAAATTTCCTATTTGTATGTAGTCATGGTTTACAGTTTTAGACCCGTTCAAAATGTTAAATCTCGATTTATAATCAAATTTACCGGCAATTTTAGCCAATTCAATATTTTGCAACGACGAAAAAAGTTATTTCCGTTCGTTTTAGGTCCATACATGCAGCGAGCCGATTGTTGGCCTCCACTTTCCCTATTGCGTAAGCATACTGGAATGTCGATACGACATCTGTGACGGTCACGGTGGCCCATAATGTAATTTGCAAAATTAGACCAAAAGCAGTTAGACTGACTTTGGGAATATTTTTCGTAGCTCTTTCGCACTTGTTTATCGTTCTGCAATAGCCTATACCACGCAGAATTTAATTCTCTATCGCCCTGTGGTAACGGTTTTTCCATCGGACGTTTCAGTTTTCACATTTCGAATTAGTTTTAAAACACTGCAAACTAACCCTAAAAGTACACGTATTTGGTAAAGCTTCACTTGAATAAACTAGGTGTCGTATCGCAAATCTGACTTCACCACGTTGTAGAGCGGACAATTCTACATGCCCCCGTCAAGTTTCATCACAATCGGTTGATTGGTTTGAATGCTTCAAAGATATTTCAAAAGGCAGACGACGCTTGGGCTTGGCGACGAGTCGGGTCACGCAGCCGAAGTATGAGAAATCGCTGCGGCGGTTATGTCGTCATAGTTGCCGAAAATTGAATGCTATCATCAAACTAATCAACCGATTGTGATGAAACTTGACGGGGGCATGTAGAATTGTCCGCTCTACAACGTGGTGAAGTCAGATTTGCGATACGACACCTAGTTTATTCAAGTGAAGCTTTACCAAATACGTGTACTTTTAGGGTTAGTTTGCAGTGTTTTAAAACTAATTCGAAATGTGAAAACTGAAACGTCCGATGGAAAAACCGTTACCACAGGGCGATAGAGAATTAAATTCTGCGTGGTATAGGCTATTGCAGAACGATAAACAAGTGCGAAAGAGCTACGAAAAATATTCCCAAAGTCAGTCTAACTGCTTTTGGTCTAATTTTGCAAATTACATTATGGGCCACCGTGACCGTCACAGATGTCGTATCGACATTCCAGTATGCTTACGCAATAGGGAAAGTGGAGGCCAACAATCGGCTCGCTGCATGTATGGACCTAAAACGAACGGAAATAACTTTTTTCGTTGTTGCAAAATATTGAACACTGAAAACGTAATGGTCGGACACATAGCCAAATTATGGCGTGACAAAGAGTCACGCCACTAATTGGCGTGACACAAAATTCACGCCGAAAAACGGCGTGACATGTGAGTCACGCCCTCATTTGGCGTGAATGACGACGCTTTTTATGAGAAATGTCATGCCAAAAAGCGGCATGACAAGAAATTCACGCCAAAAATTGGCGTGAATTTTTGAGTCACGCCGATTTTTGGCGTGACTTTTCTGTCATGCCGTTTAATGGCGTGACACTTCATTCACGCCCCTACAGCGGCACGAAGTCACGCCGATAGATTTTCAGTGAATTGGCTAAAATTGCCGGTAAATTTGATTATAAATCGAGATTTAACATTTTGAACGGGTCTAAAACTGTAAACCATGACTACATACAAATGGGAAATTTTGTGTAGATGCTGAAAATGACCTGGGTTTTTCAATTTGATGAAGTTTTGATGAAGTTATGTTGATTTTAGTGACACCGTGCACAGCGGTCGGCCGCTCGTCGCTCGCCGGCCCGACACTGTGGCAAAAAGCTACGGAAAATTCTGTAAACAGCTTGTGGTAATTCTCCGTAGGCCCCTTATCAATATTCTCCGTAGGCTCTTACAGTATTTTCTGTAGGACCGCACAGTATTCTCCGTAGGACCGCACAGTGATCTCCGTAGGACTATACAGTCTTCGAGGTCCTACGGAGAAGACTGTGCGGATTTACAGAGAATACTGTGCGGCCCTACGGAGAACACTGTAAGAGCCTACGGAGAATATTGATAAGAGGGCTACGGAGAATCCTGGCAAAAAAATTAACAGGATTTTCCGTACCTTTTTGCCACAGTGCGAGCGGGGAGCATCGTTTCACGCGCCGCCTAGGCCGTTGCCACCCCCTGGTTAACATCAAATAGACAACGAAATAACGACAAACGCGTGTGTAACTCGTTTGTCGTTAGAAGGTGGGTAAATTTGTCGTTTCCTTGCCGTTAAACGACCCATTTAACGACAAAAAAACGACAAAATGACGGTGATCCATGAAGCAGCGAGCGAAAAGAGAAGCCAAGTCGCCGAGTGTTGAACCGAGACTCTTGTCCTTCAACGCGTTGAAGGACAAGTGTCGGAGTTCCAAACCGCTCGGCCAAAGCGACTTGTGGCGGTCGGAGTTCATCGACGCGAACTGCTTCGCCTCTCGCCGAAGGAGCCTTTTCACTGACACTTGGGATCAGTTTAAAACTAGGCGGGTAGCGCCCACTGCAGGAGTGGTCACTTCGTTTCTCCTCAAGGTTACGGTACAAACGGTTCCTGGGTATTTCAGGAAATCTATGGTAAAAGAGGGAGTTCCTGGGAAAAGCAGAAGTCCTGCAGCACTCCTGTAGTGGGCGTTATTTAACGACAAAACTACGACCGCTTTACCGACTTTTGTTCCACACGGGCATTGCCTCCTCGTGACGTGTCGTTGAGTTCGAGCCGCTTGACTTCCTGCACCAAGGACTCACGTGCCGAGTCCTGGAGGACTCTGTGCGTCTGGCCATCAGCGCGGACGGGACGCCGCTGCCCCTGCACGACGACCCGGAGGGCACCGTGCCGGTCTACTACCTGCGACGGCACGCCAGCCCCGAACACCTGTCACCGTGCTTGCGCGCCCTCGCCAAGGACGACACCATGGAGGCGCTGACGGAGGCATGCGTGCTTCACTGCGAGGACAGGCGAACGACGACGACTCAGCACATCCGCGGCAACACCTACGCGATCCTGAACCCCACGGTCGAGGTGCAGCTGATTTGCAACAACAAAGTACAGCAGCGCCTGCAACAGCTTCAGGACGGGCGCCACCAAGTCGACATGCCGTGCAATTGCTTGGCGCAAACGTCATCGACACCGCCGGAGACTATCATCGAGTTGGGTACCATCTGCACCTCGACGGCGGCGGTGCGGGTGTCCAGGATCTGGGCCGAGTCAAACTTCACTGCCCAGGCAGCAATCGGCGGGGACATCTCGTACACCAACTACTCAACGGCCCCCCTCCCACCCGTACGCGTTATCACGCCGCGGCCGCCCATGACGGGGCACTTCTGGGCCGACCTGCCCCTATCCGGCATGTCCCACGCCGAGTTCGGGCTCTGGTCCGCCCTTTCGCTGATCATCGCCGGCCTCGGCGTCTTCGCCGCTGTCGCAGCGTGCTGCCCTACAACCACCATGACATCCGGGCTTGGCATCGTATCCACTCTGCTCGCGTCGTGCTGCCACAATCCGGCAACTCCAAGACCGCTAGCCAAGCCTGCTGCCGCGCCCCAGCCCTCAAACGACGCGGTCTGTTGAGGGACAACTTCAAAAGTCGCGCGCCGCGACCATCAGCCCGGCTCACGGCCACCTAGACGAGCGGGTTCGCGGCGCGACGATTGATGCAGCAGTAGCACCGCCCGGCGAGCCCTTCGCGGCCCGCTCCGCGAGCCACGGGGCCCTCCAGCGAGCGCGACACCTCTGCCTCGGGGCAGTCGTAGGAAGGCTAGTATTGTATCAGGGTGCGTGTGAGGCCAAGTCGATCAACCCTAACAATATACGTAAAGTCCAGTCCAGAGTGTGAGTGTTCTATTTGGTCAAAACCCTCTCGATTAGTGCAACCCGGAAAGTAGGAGATCTCAACATTGGTGCATCGGCCGGGAAATCGAGACGGGGTTTTTTTTCCCTCTTTCGTTTTTCTCACGCACCACAAAATTTTTTTTTTCGGACTTAGAACGTGAACGCGACCCGTCGCACTTCGACTGCGTGCGACAGACTTTTAAGTGAAGTGACTATCAGTGCAAGTGAAGTGAACTAGTGAAGTAAATAGTGCAGTGAACCAGTGATCATTCGGTGTTTGTGCTTCGAAATTGTGCTTCCCCCGGCGTCGAACCGTGGAACACCTTGCACCACGTGCAGCAGAGCAACAACCCTCGTGTGAGCTGCATCCAACAGCAGGGGAGACACAGGTTAGTGCACTGGCCATTGATTGCAAAATGCGATGAATAACGAATATTTTGAGAAAATTAAAAGTTTGCTAGGATCTGAGGGTAAAGGCCCAGTGTTTGCAATTGACAATATCGATAACTGGGAAGAATCAGATTGTGATTCAATAGCAGAAACAGTTCTCTCTCGCCTTTTAAATTTCCCTGTAAATTTCCTTGCAAGTACACTGTTAAAAATCCACTGTAATATTACAACACAATCATCTACAGTAATGGTGTTAAATAACAACCGTATTGTTTTGTATCTAAACGGGAAACCCATCCAGAAACAGCACTTTCGTTCCATAACAACTTCCTTGTCTTGTAACAATAATGTTATCGTGATTCAAAACAGTTGTGTTGTCGTTGAACAGGTTTCATGTGTAGAAACAGCCTTTTGCAATCTTAAAACATATATTGTTGTCAGGTTACAAGGGTCTTGTTTATTAACAGCACGATGAAATCAACACAAATGTTGGGAAGAAATCGTCGAAGACTCCAAAGAAGTATTGTTTTATTACAATCGAACTGTCAGAAAACAGCACTGAGGGCTACAACATGCTTGTAATAAAGCAAGTCGTGTTGCTATCAAACTTAACAGCATAAGTGCTGTTAATTTACAGCACCTTTTT